GCCCTGAGAATTACTACTGGTAAAGAAATTTGTAGCCTAGAAAAAGACTCAAGCAAATATTCAATTAACCCTTAATACACTTCTGATATTTTTGGCCATAAGATAAAATTTTTGTTTTTATTGCTACACCTTGAAGAAAATTTGTTGAAGACATTATTATCAGAAGTAAACTATACCATAATTAGGTTAGGTTAGCTTAATGATGCTACCCATTACTGTATACTGGAGTTTGCATTATGATCATCTGTTTGATCATCCAGATATGATAACCAGTTAAAAAAAAAAAAAAAAATTCACTACAGTATTTTACAATTATCCTTCTTTAGTCCAACTGACACACAGAGGATAAAATGGGTGCCTCAACCCTCAGTTCAATCTATGATCTAGGTAAATAAAAACCTTTCTTCACAGATATTTCACAGAACTTCAAGTGGTAAGCAAAAGGCCTAAACTTAAGAACCAAAGCTGTACACTCTTCTGTGTAGTTGCTGTGTGACCAAGTATTGCACTGTACATCAAGAATGATAATCGTGGTGGTATGAACCCAGTGCTACATCAACCCCTTCAATAACCCTCTCACCCCTTTCCATATATAGTCCTATAAAGAAAAAAGAGCATAATGGAAAGTGTACTTGTCTACAATAAAGGCTGACACTCCTGGGATGTAAACATTTCACATGTCTTGGGAAACAGAAAGACATTAAACCCATCATGATATCACATATTTTAATTTTCTGAAAAAAAATGTGATAAGAACAACCATGTTATCACATAATACTTCCCTGTATAAATGACATGACAAGAACACATTATCACATATCTTATTTTACTTGGTTAACAGAAATTGCAGCAATCACGAAAATACACACACATCCAGTATTTGTTAAAAAAAAGCCAATGCAAGTGTAAGTTAAAATAAAATAAGTACAATAAGAGAAGTTAAGGAAAAAGCTTGAATACATATGCATATGTTTATTATGCTGTAAAACAGAAGTCTTCAACTGTTGTCATCTATGGAATCATTTGTCTAGATGCAAGAACCTCACAGGGTGTTGGTGGTACTGTACAACGGTAGCACGTGTATCTCTCACCAATATGTTAAGGGTTTGAGCCCTGTTTGGCTGAGACACACATGAGAAGGGTGTTATTCAGTGTGACCCTCACTATCAAACATCACAGGTTTCCTCCAGGAACTCAAGTTTCCTCCTGTACTAACTGTCCAAATGGCTAATAAGCTGATAAGTGGTGAAATGCTTAGTAAAGTATAAAAAAATCCAACCTGAACAACAAATTTGTAGAACAGGAATTTTTATATGGATCATGGATACAAAATTTATAAGATTTAATAGATAATGGATCTGATGAACAGCACTGAAGCACACCATATAATTTTCTAAAGCTTAACAACCGGTCAATTACATTCTTTTACCAGATTAAAAGCCTTATTGTCTCTTAAATCATTCCCAAAATTCCAAGAGACAACTTAAAGATCTTTGCCTGAGAACAAAAGATGTGCAATTTTGCTTACCTTCTCATATCCTACTATACTGTATAATTATCAAATATGATATGTGTGGATGATTGCACAAGTCTAGTGCTAAGCTCTGGTTGCAAGTTTTCCCAATACACTGTACCGTACTGTACCCTCTCTTGTATTACTAACAAAAATACACCAGTTTTGTATGTTTTTTTTTCTCCAAGTCCATAAAATCTAAGATAAATTCTATGAAAGTTTTCAAGACATACCAAATGCCACATAAATTTCATATACACAGTACAGGTAAATACTTTTTTAATAAGTCTTAATTTTACATTGGATTTGTTACAGTTTTTGTTATCTTCTCAGACTTACACACTCAACAGAGAAGGAAATAATATCACAATACAGTTCATGTAACATTACTAATTTCAAATTACTGTATATATTAATAAATTTACAAACACTGTCACACTAAAAATAAAGGATACTGTACTAAATACAGTTCAGTAAGTACTCGTTTAATGTCGTCCCGCTTAACGTTGTTTCGGTACTACGTCGTTAAACTTTAGAGACTAAAAATTCGTTTAACGTCCCAGTGATCCGATACTACAGTACATCGTTTTGCGTCGTCACAGACTACATTTTACTGTGCATCACCCTCTCTCGTCTGGCCGAGATGTGATCTCTTGGCTTGGCGCAGTCTCAATGACTCGCCACTCACCTCCGCTCCCGCCATACTCCTCCCCTCCCCCCATCCGCCTCCTCCGCTTCACTACTCACCACACACCCGCTCTATCACCTCCGCCCATCATTAAGTACCAATACAAACTTAGTAGTTGTATATGTATGCACCATTTTCTATAGAAATGGCAATGATTTTCTGTATATGTAATGTACAGTATTTCATGGGGCAAAGGGAGGTTCAGGAATGTAACTTCTGTATTTTATCTATTTCTTATGGGGAAAATTGATCCGCTTAACGTTGTTTCATATAACGTCGCATTTTTAGGAACGTAACCCTGACGTTAAGCGAGGATTCCCTGAACTCACAATGCACTATAGAAACAACAGTAAAATTCCAAGTAAAATTTCATGCACCACATATATATATATATATATATATATATATATATATATATATATATATATATATATATATATATATATATATATATATATATATATATATATATATATATATATATATATATATATATATATATATATATATATATATATATATATATATATATATATATATATATATAATATATATATATATATATATATATATATATATATATATATATATATATATATATATATATATATATATATATATATATATATATATATATATATATAGATGTATATCCCCTGTATTGGATTAATTTTTACTTGGAATTTTACTGTTGTTTCTGAAGTGAAATGCAAAAAAAACTTTGACTTCAGATATCTTGCAATTCCAATTATGAATATTCTCATCCATTCATATGTAGTTATACATTAAAAACACAAAAAAACAGTGTTGATTTGTACATAATAATAATGTACTGTAATACTTTCACATTATAATAGTACAGTACTACAGCATACTGTATACAGTAGTACATACATACAGTAATATATTGCAAACCTAAACCCAGAGTGCTAGCAATGTTACACAGAGGAATTCCAGCCCAGCTCTTTCTGTAAACTAAAAAGTTTAAAACAAAATCTCAATCATAAACCATCATAAAGTGGGATGGAAACTATACTCGTCATATTGAAATTTACTAAAAGTATATGTTAAGGCATATTGTGGGAAATTAATCACAACTCATATCACTTGGCAAATCAAACACCTGGACAACAGTTAGTAGGCTGATGAGCTACGCTATCTTGAATACAATTACCTTAATATAAGACTTACTGGGATGTTTAATTGAATCATGACCCTACTACCTGCTTTGATCACTGTAAATTCACCCTTTAATATAAAATAAGTTCCCACCATTGCAAAACTCAAAACAAGCTACCTGACACTCATCGCATAATCCTGCTAACAGACTTCAGTGGGACGGAAGTATGAACGGATGGACAAAAAGCACGTCATTACACCCTGCTCCATGCACAGTAGGGCATACTAAAACTAAATACTGTATATCAGACACAAAAGGCAAAAATTCAAATCAATAACATACAAAAACCAAATTTAACACACGACACAAAAATACATTATGAAAGAAACACACACATACACAATACTTATAAATATTTACAGTGAATTCTTCAAAATCTGTCGCCCACATCATTAGGAAACTTAATGCATTTCCAAACTTGATAAAAAAATATTCACTTCAAAACAAAAATTGTCACCTGATCATTTACATTACACTGCAGGAAAAGATAAAACACAGAGAAATGAGAGCACTGTAACCTGCGGTCTGTAGGTTACAGCCGTTTTTCTGTTTTATGTTCTCCTACAATACGATTTTCATTGATATGATTTGTGTGGTATATATACTGGGTATATATATATAATTGCCAACAAAGATAAAAATCTTTAAATACATTTCCTAACAAAATAACATTTCATAATATATTAACTTGTAAATACAGATGGAATCAGTGCTATTTTCCATATATTATCAGTCATGGTTATGGAAGGTACTTCCCTCCTCTGTTCCTTAAAAAATTATGCTATACCTGTACATAACTAGGTTTCTATACATTACTCTAAAAATAGACTGAGACAAAAACCACAATGGATTATAACATGATATATATATAATATGTATTGGAATGGGACAACAATGTGCAAACATTTCATTTGAATAAATCTGCTAAGAAAATGGACCTTCCTAAACATGCTTTCCATTTTCATTTCAGTAATATATCTTAAGAGGAAGAAAAGAAGGTGTTAGTTCATCTTCAGTTGACACATTCATGAGTAACAGGGATGTAGTCCCTGGCAATACACAAGAATCTGTTAGCAATAACAACTGAATTCCTTGACTACAAGCTATATGTACTACAATGACCTTCTTAATAATATATGCATATACTGTATACCTTGCTATTCAAACAGTACAGTACATACATACACACACACACACTTGACTGTAAAGCACAATACAGTACACTGTGGCATCATGTAATTTATCAGTTATTTTTCCATTATCTATTTCCAGCTTTCCTGTGTACAAGATCTTTTCAAAACTTGTAAACAATTGGGTGAGAGAGAAGAGTGTCTGACTATACTATAAATTGCTTGGATCATGACAAAATGAGTCCTTATATTCATATAAATATAATTTCATCTCCTGACTAATTGGAGACTTTGATCACATCAGAGTTGACCATGGCACTGATTTATTTGTAGTATCAAATTTACAAAGATTAGAGCATATATATATATATATATATATATATATATATATATATATATATATATATATATATATATATATATATATATATATATATATATATATATATATATATATATATATATATATATATATAGTATTACATAAAACAAGAACATTTAACTGTTGGTCCCACAATCATCATTTATAAAAGTTTATTACTAATGTAATCCTGAAACAAATTCAAATGATAATACAGTATCAGTTTTCAACAGCCCTATCTTTAGGTAAAATCTTCCCACACGAGTGAAGGAGAGTCTTCCCTTACATATCAGATACCAGTTATTGTATTTCCAACCTTCAAATGTTTGAAGACTTTGCATTACTGTACCAGTAAAATTTGGAGCAAAATTATACATGCTGGTTTGGCTACCACACTGGTTAATCACTTGCAAATGTTGAAGTAACTTAAATAAATGGGAAAAAATTGGTACCAACCCAATTGGAGCATCACTGAGCAAGTTAACTTTTTAGACAATATAAAGTGTTTAGTAAATATATTTACAAGAGGAAAATCCTCCATCTTGATTTATAATAGTAGCCCATCTCATAAACTTGTAATCCCTGGGGCTCATGCTTTAATTCTTAACTTAAATAATTTTTGATGTGGTTTTGGGGGACAGGGGGGGTTAACATTGCAGAAAACAGAGAATAACATTAGTATCAATCTATTATACTTTCACAACACTTAATGCAATGCAGATAGTTGCAAGAATACTGGGGTGTACAGTACTTGTTAATAAAACCTTTATGCTTATAGATGCATATAGATGGCACGCAATATATTTATGCTATATTTTGATATAAAAGATAAAATGGCTAAAATAAAACCTGTTGACTTAAAAAAATATTTAGTTTATGGTGTAAATAAACCTACTATATGTACTGTATGCAAGATGAAGAGTGTCAACAAGTGATGTTTCCTAGAGCTTTATCTATTTACATACATACCTTCTAGTCATCCTCAGTTAGACTTTCTTGTCATTATTAAGGCCCCATTCATCATACATTTGTACTATTATCTTTAGATTTGTTTCTAAGTGTTTAATGTAAGCAGAGCAGCCTGCATATAGCACATCTTCAGAGCCCACCTTCCCCATGTACAGAGATTTAACGAGGTCAGATCTATAGGATATCGATTTTACCACCACCTGCAATAGAGAGAATTTTCAATTAAAGGCTGTTAGGTGGTATTGCACAAGTTAGAGGAAGATGTTGCATGTTGTACACAGTTATGCATGTTGGAAGTGACACACTGTACATGAGTAAGCTTACCTTGAACAAGTTTTGTACTAGCCACATGTGGTATGGTTTAAGAGTTTGATTGTATGCCTCAGTGGCCAGATGGTCAATTCTTTCAGACTTTTTGCCCTTTTCATGCTCCTCACAGATTCCATTAACGAAGGCTACAGTAAACTCCAGGGCTCTGAGGGCAAAAAATAATTATATATGCTACTCTTTTTATGTGGGAAAGAAAAAATAAGGCTACAAAAGATAAAGTTAAATAACATTCATACAAATTGGAAGGCAAATCCTCAATAAAAAAACAAAACATATGCAGTACTAAAAAGATGCAAGTTTGGTGGCCAATTGCATCCTCTTCAGTAGTGAGTAACTATGTGAGGTCACAAAGAACAAGCACACAAATACAGTACACAGGACAACTCCAGGAGTGAGGTACCACAGGCTCAGGTCACAGCGGTGATCTGACCCAAGCGTAGAAACAAAGCTAAGCCGGAGTCACAGTTGGGTACGGTGAAATCTCTATGTAACGGATTATAGGGAGATGAATGTTCGTTTTTTCAAGGGTCCGTTAGATATGAAACCTCTATCTAATGAACTATATACAGAAGAAATTCTGTTATATCAAGGGTCTATTTAATATAACAACCCCCCTTCCCCTATCTGATGGAATACATGAAGAGGAAAGTCCATTACATAGAGGTTTCAATGTAGTGCACTCCATACTAAAGCTCATATTAATGAGTCAAGCCTTCCTGTACCTTCACTTAGATTGAATTTTCACTCTTCTTAAATGCAAGTTAATTATTCTCTTATCTTTCTTAAAAATATTACATTTACACATAATAGGATATGAAAAAAATACCATAAGAAAATAAATATACCGTAAACACTTTTTAGAGACAGTATCAATGGATAAATGTAATATAATAAACACATTTGTATACTATACACAACAGCATCATAGACACTCCTCTGTAGAAAATTAAATATAAAAAAGGGGGATTAATGCCATTTTAATATCACATAACTGACACCTATCATTGTGAGGTTCTTGAATGTAACTGAACAGGATCTAGACTGAATTTAAAAGGGGTCCATAGGTGGTGCAACCACAACACTTACTCTAGCGGGGTGGAAATAAACTAATTCCAGACATGTACTGTACTGCTTAATATGTATGACTATTACCCACTGCAGTACTTAAACACCTTGATTAAGTCCACTCTTGCTCATGTATAGTATTAACCAGACAAGTGTAAATGATTTACCCTCTCTTGGTATGTGAGGTGTTCAAGTGCTGGTAACAGACTCTAGCCAATCTTTAAATGTTCTCAATCAACCGGCTGTTTTCTAATTATTTCAAATATCAAACAGAATTACAGTCCCCGAGTGTGGCAGCACAGCACTTATAAAATGGTTCAATGACACTGAGATCCCATTTTATAACGAGATCCCATTTTATAACAGAGACAGGATCATGTAAGGTATCTCAGTACAGCCAGAAGGGTTAGGGGTTGAATCCCCTGGCCCTAATGCCCCAAGTTATATGACTGAAATCTAAACTTTTAAACACGTAATAAATTAAAAAAAAAATAAGATCACAAGATTATAGAACTGGTCTGCCTGGGAGAACAGTAGTTGGATGCTGAGGACTTAAAACTGGAAGGCTGGAATGGAGTTAAGAGAATAAGAATGACTGTGGTAAAAACAAAAGTAATAATTAGTGGCATGGGCAAAAGACCGTTAGTGGAAAGTGGAAAATGGACATATACTGTCTGCAATATATCCCTGTATTGCATTAATTAATTTTGCTACCTAGGTGACATGGTCAATGATGGAGGTGGTGCCAAAGCTAACTTACTTGCATGCCAGTAAGAACTAGAAGTAGTAGTTTAGGGAGCTGTTGCATTTACTGATGGTCAGAAGGGCTTCTCTTCTCTTGAAAGGAAAGTTGTATGTAACCAGTGTAATTACTGTGGTGTGTTGTTGTACGAGAGTGAAACACGGACAAGTAAAGAGAATGACACACTTAGACTTGAGCAAGCTGATATGACTATGGCGAGATGGAAATGCAATATGTAGTTGAGAGACAGGAAATCATGTTCAGAGCTAAGAGTACAGGTGGGTAATAAGAGTAATGATAAAGTTTTGCATAGAGGTACGTTGAGATGGTTCAGGTATGTGGAGAGAATGGAGGAGACACCAATTGGGTCGAGATATGCAAGAGTCTGAATGTGGAGGGAAGGAGTGCTAGGGGTAGGTCAAGAATGACATGGGAAGGGGTTGGGAGAAATGACCTCAAAGATAAGCATACTGGTATGATGAGAGTGGCTGCAAGAGACCATGCACCTTGGAGAGCTGCCATCAGGTAATCACAGCAAACCAACAAAAAAATGGAAAATGACGGTAACAGTGATAAAGATCTACAGAGAGATCCATTAAAGATGATTGTGAGAAATGTTTGTCAATATCTTTTATCATTTCAGATATGGTTACTGAATACAAAAGAAATTTGAAATAAAGTGAAGAAATAAATTGCCTGGCAATCACTGGTACAGACTATGAAAGACAACAAAAAGACAATTATTTTTAGCATAATGTTACAAGCTTAGGAGCTACATTAAATAAAATTAAGATAACCAATTATACACAAGTAGTGCATAAGAACCTGCCACTTTAAACAGTGTGGTAGAGTACCTTTTAAGCCAAAGGAGAGCATCTACTGCAAAGAGAGAGGGGTCATTCCGCTCCTCATAAATGAGATCGTTGAGATACTTGTATTTCTCTGAGGCCTTGTTGTAAGTCTTATACAGCTTCTGAAATGGGTTGAAGGAATCATTAATGCTCAATCCACAAATATTGACAGTCTGTTTAACCTTCAAGGGTGTAGCAATTGTTATAAAATATTACTACCCTAAACATAACCAAGACTGGAGGAAAGTGGCAGGAAATCCTGTTTTGTGGCTGAGGAGATGAACAAACAACCTATTTTCTTTCTTCTCCAAAGGAAGTTCACACAGCTGGATAAACTGAGCTGCAGCCACCAAAGGTCACAGAGATAACATGGCAGATGATGACACAATAATGATAATTTGGTTTAAATTGTGAGCAGTTTATTGAGTTTCTGACTGTATACTGGAGAATGAAAGCTGTGTATGGTAATGGTTGTGAAGATGTGAGTATTGTTTGCCACTGAGCTAAGCACGAAGCTGATGCACGTATTGGACATGATGAATCCAACCTCCCATTCAATATATAGCCCAGTTCTGGCTCTATCCAATTTCCACTTTTTAAGGAATATCTTAGGATTTAAAGTCAAATATAGCTATGAGAAATCAGTTCCATCAACAAGATACAGAGTTCTACTGTGACAGCACCATGAAACTGCTTCAGTGTTGACATAGGTGTGTGGACCACAAAGAAGACTATGTGGAGAAGTAATTACATTAAACTTAAGAATAAAATTCTATGTACATACTACAGTACATATATGTTTGTTTTTTTCACTGCAATATCTCATCCCAGTAACAGGGTAGGGAAAATTTTTTTTCACCCAAAACAAAGGATGCCTAGTTCTCATATAAGTTTTGGGCATGAACAATTATTAGCCTACAATAGATATACTGTACATACCTCAATGTTGCCTGACATATCCTTTTTCACAACATAAAATGTTGTGCCCATTAGATCTGTAAAGAAAAAACATTTACCAATTTAATTTATACAAATATTTCCATAAGCTATTAGCATTAAAAACATAACTAAAAATGGTAAAATAAGTACAGTTGTATAAGTGTAATTGCAAAGTTTCTTTTACTAGGTATAAACATTCAGTTATACTGTATATGAGTAATCAAATCACAATTTAAAAAGTTTACAACCTTAACAAATTTATTGAGTGCATACCGTATATTCTTTTGAGAGATCATTGTTGTCAATGGACTGCATAAATAAAAGAAATGAATACTGTCACTGAAGTATGATATTCCATCTTATGACTGAGGGAAAGAATTGAACAACCTATAATATACAAGTACTGTACATTCTGCTAACTCCTCCAATGGCAAAACCTGCCTAGGTAATGCCAGACAGCCTTGATGTGTTTAACTCCTTCACTACAAGGACACCACTTATCATATTTTATTTGGCAAATGACAAATGATTTTATTCAGCTCAGTGGGGGGCCCATACACAAGGGGTTGTAGACTATACTGTATTGTATCTACTAATCCCTTCACTATCAGGATCCCACTTTTATCATCTTATTTAGCTAACGTTAGATGATTTTCTTTAGCTCAGAGGAAAGCCTGTACACAAGGGATTAATCATGGTAGGATTCACATTTACGGTAGATGGACTGGAATATGGTGGATTTGATTTTGTTGCAGTGCCAGACTCAAATTAATTTTCTCCATGGGCAAACTAAAATCGTTCCGGACCACGGGAGTTTCCGGACCACAGAATGCAGGATAAGAGAGGTACAACCTGTATTAATATTTCTTGTAATACCTACTGTATTTACAGTACAGTTGGTCCTCATATTACGCGGTCCCGCATTCCGCGTTTCACCGTTAACGCGGTGCCTTGCCAGAACCTAACATTTTCACATTCCGCGGTCGTGAACCCCATTACGCGGAGAGCAGCTGGCAAGCCGCGCCATTTTTGGATCCAAACCTCCCGCCATCCGCCATGTTGTGTAAGAGGCGCGAAAATGGTGCGCACAAGGTCGCCCAGTCATCAAAACATGACCAGTTCTTCACCCGCCACCCACTACAGCCGGCCCAAGTCAGTGATAGTGATAATTATAGTGAGGATATGGACTTATATGAACTTTGGGGGGGTTTGACAAAGAGGCCCTGCAAGCCTCTGTGGTGGATAGTGATACAATTGATACAAGTGATACAGGTGAGGGCCAATAATCTGCCCTCTGCCTCGGAACCAACCGCCCATCCCCGTGTGCCCAGCCATCTTTTCTACTAATGTAAGTGTTAAAAAACCTAATATTATTGATATTTCTCTTAATTATTAATTGTGTGTGCATGCCATCATAAAGTTAAGATAATATTTTTACTACAACATAGTTGTGTGTCGTCAAAAAGTGGAGTTTGGGGATCGGCCAGGACTCCATTTCAATTAATCCCATATGTTATGTTATTCACTTTACGCGTTTCTCACTTTCCGCGGTACCCTCCGGGTTACATTAACCGCGTAATATGAGGACCAACTGTACCTACTTTTGTTGAACCATCAAAACCGTTTTATCGGAAATTATCATGTAAAATAGATAAGAAATTACCATTGCAATAAATATATAGTATTTGCTAACTAGATATAGTCCTGACAGCTCTGTCCTCTTGTTCAACCTGAATACTGTACTGTACAACCCATGCTGTGCTGCTTCCCCACTATATTTATGTTTTTCAATTCCACTGTAATTTATGTATATCGTAGTATATATCAGGTGCCTCAAAGCGAGCTCAAGTTCTCAACTGGCTCAGCCATGTTAATATTGTTATTATTATCCACTCTGTATCTGTGTTTTTCTGGCTTAATAAACTGTTTCAATTCAATTCAATTCCTTTGGCCATATCGTTGCTAGATCTCAGTCCCTGTCCATTTCTAATCTTAGTTAATGGAGGAGGGAAGGAAACCACCCAGATCACATATTTCTTGTCCATCATAAAATGGGATTTCATACTTCAATCCCTCATTAATGACCTATGAGTTATTATCAAGTGGCATGAAGATTTCAACCTCTAACAAGTGGGATGGGAAGAGGTCTTGTGTTAATTGTCTCAACAACACCCCAACTGGGAAGTTTTAACTTTAAAAAAGAAAGGACATACTTTATAATCTCTGAGACCCATAGTCACTGATCTAAGAACGGCCTTAGAATGAATACTGTATTTAATTGAAGATATTAGCATCTGTTATATAACCCAATGATAACTCTTAGGCTAATAAGATCATAAAGGGGCAAATCCCTTCAAATTCTGTACTCTGGTCATGCACCAAAGTTCCAGAGCTTTAAAAGAATCTTAGCCACCATATGCTACCTAACCACTGCCAAGACAATATATTTTTTTTTAAGACTGGTTTGTGAACTGAGTGTGGAGGTGGAGCCGTCACTACAGCCATGACTCGAACCTTAGTTACAAAGCTTTAATCTTCCTCGATAATGCTCACCCTAAAGGACCTGCACTCTAATACTTGAGTCATGTTTATGCCACCCAACACCACCTGCTTTATACAGCAAATGGATCAGGGAGTGATAGTAACAATTAAAATGTATTACTGTTCCAAGGGTTAGTGGTTCTATTGCCGGGCACTCCCAGTCCACCCAGCTGTAAATGGATACCCAAGTTTACAATATGGGGAAGTAAATGCGGTTCAATGCAATACTGGCCAAGCTGCGTCCTTGTGTACCGAAGGCTTAGTATAGTGTGCTGTATCCACACTGTCTCTAATGAGCAGTCATGTCTATGGGCCCTACTTCTCACTGCAGCAAACATTAAGTCAGTTGCTTAATACTAATGACAGGCACAAGAAGTCACCTCTTCATGAGTTTTGGTAGAAGTATAACATCGTCCATGCCAGCCACTCCTAATGCAGAAAATAACAATGTACCAGTGAGTAGAGTACATTATATTCACGTATAATGTTTATTATATAAAACATATAGTATTTAGTTATTATGTTGCTCTTAGTATTTGCATGGAAACATAATACTGTACATCAAAACAGGGACTTTGGCTCTGACTGCTGGATAGCTATCTTTATTCATACTATTTTTGTTCATACTGTACCAGCCTTTTCTATGAGAACAACCTCAGGTATATATAAGGACAAACTGTATTCTACATTATCAAAATTCTGAGTGGAGTTTCAACAAATGATTTCTAAAATTATAATCACAGTACAGAATAAAACACACCTGAGCCTTAATATCAGTGCAGCATAAATGAACTGGAATTTACACACTGCAGAAGCAGACACAGGAGTGTTGGCATAGGTTTATGCCTTTATAATGCACAAACACATTTGCAATCACACAAACACTTTTACAAACAATATTATCAGCAGAAAAAACCTGTGTGTGAAGGCCACTATAACATGGGAACAGCTAAGGTAATAGTTAAGTCTGGTGATGACCTGGTGTGGTCTACAGTAGGGCTGACTGTTAATGACCATCATGACCTTACAGAACTGTGACCCAACAAATAATGGAAGTGTCTTTTGATGTGAGGTTAAGTAAATTAGCTGACTTCTCTGAGTATGACACTTAAGATGCTTTGCTGTACAGTAAAAATGATACAGTATCAATAAATAAAATTAATTTACAGGTATACCTCAACTTATAATAGGGCTGCATTCCTGAGAACAATAGCATAAACTAAAAAAAACAAAACATTTCTTCAGGACATAATAAAATGTCACTTCAACACAATTTAAATACGTGCTGGTCATTCTCCTGGCATCTCTACATAGCCTAAATCTCTTGGAAAATGCAGGAAATTGACAGAAAATTCTGTAGAAGAATGGAGCAAGATTTGAGAGATTCCATTATAACAATTTTGTTTCATGCTGTAACCAGTCAAATAAACTGCCTGGAACACAATACTGTATGTAAAATTCCTCTTCTCTAGACACAGTACAGAATACAGTAGTCGATAATTACTGTACAGTACAAGTTTTCCAGCCAAGGAAACTTAAGTATAATTAAAAAATATCCCAGTACAGTACCATAAAACAAAACAAAAAACGTTATAATGGAAATAGCGGTGTAAATAATTTAAAACAGTATCACTAAATTAAAAAATTCTAAATAGTTATCATATATTGAGGTATACCTGTACAATATTCAATTTGTAATCAAATATTTGGACATTTTAAAATTATGACTTGAGTTCTGAAACCGGGTCTGGATTATCATATATTAGTGTACATCAGTCAGTATTACTGTATGTCATACATCATACGCACTCCTAGAACTGTTGTACGAATATGATTATTACTCTTTAGAGGGTATTTAACAACACTGACTGGGATAGAGGTAATATGTGGCAGGATGCTTGTGATGGGAACAAACTGATTGGTATCTTGGCAGGAGCATGCACTGTCTAATTGGTCAACCAGATTCTTGTAGCAAGTAACATACAGTATATTATAGTTTGGAAAAAGTAATGAAGCACAACAGTTTCTCCAAAAATGTAATTAAACAAAAGCAGACTATCAAAAATTCAAAGTAACTAGTTAAGAGAAAAATTCATAAAAAATACATTTATGTAAATGAAGTATTGCTACTTCATTACTTATCAGTACTGCTGGCACTGAACTAGGACTCCTAAAACAAATCTGTAAAATTGGTTGTATGTTAAAGATTATTGAATATTTACTATAAAAGTGGCAGAGTCCTCCTGTCATTTCTAACCACTCAAGTGACATAATTATGTTTTATGCACAAAACCAAAAACAACTATGGTAGTTTAGAGGCAAACATGTTTTTTACTGCCATGAATCTTAAGAATAAGGGTGCCACTTCACTAAGTACAGCAGTGTCAAAATTTTGCAGTGCTAATGACCAAGCCCATCATGGTATGGTAAATTTAGCAGAATAATGAAAGCAAACTCCCCACCCCCTGCCAGCCATCATGAATAGCCTATAAATATATGTGCAATATAATGATGTATTAGTGTGTCCATCTGAAAATGGAGAAAAATAAAATTCAGGCTGGGGGTCTGGGGCCTGCCTTGGGCCCCAGAAACTGAAGCATTCTAAATACTTCAAAACTACTAATTCTCAGCCATTTTCAGGCACTTTAGGTGTAAACTGTTGTCTCAAACTCTGAAGTGGTGTTATGCATACAGTACATGTTTTTTGTACCAGCATATTGTTTAATAGCTGCAAAGCCCATGCTTGCAATGTAAAACTCTTTGTAACAACATACTAAGCATTGCCATGGACTCATCACTATCACTGGTAAAGTATTCTCAGAAATAAATCATCATTCGAGTCCTTGCCCTTGTTTTATGGACCCCAGTCTGACTTAAACTTGCACTCGCTGTGTACACTCAGAGCCATATTTTCAAGTTCTGCAAAGAAATGGAGAATTATTTTTGCACATAAAAAACCCTATTTTGCCTTTGATAATATATAAGGTAATGTGTAACACGATAGATGTACTATACACAATTTTAGTACAGTACTACAGGAATAATTGCCAGATTGCTGTAGGATGAAGAAAGAGGTCTTAGATATTCACTTTCTAACCATAATGGTACTGTAGTCAAACAAAGAATACATCTTGTCTGTTCTGTGCAAAAGTTGGGAAATTCTCATTTTGTAAAATTTCCTCTTATGATCTGGCTGGACAATCAGCTACGGTTGGATATGAATACAGTTTACAGTTCATTTCCAATAATTACTAAACCGTGTAAGCTGGTACTCTGAAATCACTTGCATATAAGAAAATAAGAACATAAGAATGGAGGAAAATGCAGCAGGCCTATTGGCCCATACTGGCCAGTCTCATTTACACCCAATCCCTATTGCTCATATATCCATCCAACCTATGTTTGAAGCTATCCAGCGGATTTGAGTTAATGATGACGTTTGATAACTTGTTCCACTCATCCACTACTCTATTTCTAAACCAATGTTCTTTGTTTCCACAGGGTAACAAAAAATAATCTTTAAAATATAAACATTTTGATGTGACAAAAACAAAATATTAATACAAATATATAACACTGTAATATAGTATAGACCAGGAGTGATGTTATATGCCAGTCTCACCATGGTGTATTTTTCACCTACAGTACAATATATATTGTGTGTTTTCCTTACATGTCTTCGTGTGTGTGGTCTTGGGTATAATAAATTTTCTGTATAAGAGCTTAAAAAAATATCAATTCATTAATATTTTTGAGGAAAGATTATTATAAAATATCCTAAATTAAAGTAATCTGTAGTACTACCAAATACCTACTGAGACATAGTGCACTTGTAGTTAATTCAATAAATCTTTTCAATTTCTTATTTATCATATACTGTACACCATTTACAGGGATGGTATACTGTAAATCAGAGTATCCAGAGAAAATATGTGATATTTGGCAGGGTTAAAAAGGATAACTCCCTTCTCACATCCAAACATGGGATTAAACTCAGGATGTAGAAATGAAAGGCAACTGAACTATGGCTGCAGCAACATAACTGATATAATGTGACCTACAGTAGTTTTCTGGAGAAACGAAAAGTTTGTTTTAGCCTCCACACCTTAAGAGCTTTTTTAGGTACTAGGTAACCTACTTTATCCTCTTCGCCACTGATCGGCTTGTTAGCCACTTAGGCAGTTGGTTCCATCTCTGTTACGCACTGTTGGCAAGTAGTGGGCTCTTGCATTTAATGGGTGTACAATCACTAGAACCATTGTTTACATTTGGAAAAACCTAGGAACTTCCCAAAGTACTAAATACAGTAATACTACATTATATATTTTACCATTCTTAAAATGAACCAAACTAACTTGCCTAACCTAACTTAACCTAAAATCCTTGTATCTTATAAAGGAAAACAAGGTAAAGGTTTAGTTACCCTGCTGTCTGTGCTACTGTTGGCAGAATGTTTTCGTTGGATCACTGCAGTTACATGTGACCTTCTTATGGAGATCATAAACTCAAGTTGGTAAGCTAGGTTGGTTAGATTGGTTCATCTTGCGAACAATAAATTAAATAACGTAGCAACATCGGATATACCGGGAAGTTCCCAGACTCACCGACTGTAAACAAAGGCACTCGTGATCTTACAACTGTTAAATACAATATAGCGAGAAACTATATCAACAGTTCAGTACTTTTATGGAAATCAAACATCTGAAACCAAAAGTCATTTTTTATTTATTTCTTTGCACTGACAGAGCCACAAAGGCCATAGTCTACTTGCTGTTTCCTACACCAAATTAACAGTAAATTTCTAAACAATTTCTTTTTATTTTACCTTAATGCCAGGGAAAGGATGGCAGTGCCTTATTTAATCTCTACATTATTCCATAATCAGTCCTGCACTTAGTTTAACCCCATTATTTTTTTTTAAATACCTGGCCATGTTACAAGTGTTTTAGGAACATTATATTGTGCCCATGAAATAATTTAGTGGTGCTTGTCATAACAATTCACCTTTTATTCTACAAGGTTTAGTTATAAAAAAATATGACCGCCCAGGAAAGACATTTACCAAAGACAACTACAGATTTAAACTCATATATATTAAAAATCATAAGTACCATACCAAGAACTAACAGACATAATATATTTCACTGTTCCTCATTAACATCACAGCTTTTACGTCACTCAGCTCAGACCACTGGGCCAGTCTAGGGAATTTTACCTTTAAAAGCAACTAATAATATATAACAAACTTACCATAAATCTGAATGAAAGATTTCGAGGCTTCAAGAAATTGCACAGTATTTATTTTCCCATCTTCTGTAGGTTTTGGGTACAGAGGAGAAAGTTGGGAGAAAAAATGAGGCGGATTATCCTCTGACATACTGCCACTGTTGTTGTTTATCTCTGAATGCCACTCTCCCAGGTGACAGGTCTGGCACACTGATGCCAGACCTGTATGACAAGCTGCTACACTAGCGACTTTTTTCCGCTAGATAACAAGAAAAACATCTATTCACTACTCATCATACTTTATTACACTACAAAAATTCTGGATGAGTACTTTGAGCCTGCTTGTACAGACTTTAATCACTTTATTTAATATTAATCGATAATAAAGTTGCTTATCGCTACATGACTTCTTGATCTACCCCGTGTTTGTCCTGATAATGAATTTTTCAAGATATAAATCAATCAGTACTAATGTATATCACACAAATACATGGGATATGTCTATTCTTAAGAAAATCTCATATTGTGATAAATGAAACCTATTGGTAACACTAGCTAAAAAAGTCCTCTTAGAAGGTAGTGTATTAATATTTTGACCTATTTAGATACATAATTATTGGTGATTTTAATACCCCGATAATTGATCCTAATATGACAATGATTCATACCTAAGATCAGTGTTTATAAATCCTCAGACCTTGATCCATTACAACCGAGATTAACTAACAGAGTAACCGCCAAAAGCATAATACTGTACAGTAATATGAAAAGCTTACATTAATACTGCATGAGCATCGTTAGTGATAATCATAACTCGTTGAGAACATGCCGTAGAAATGGATAAATTTGTAGCTACATCAACATCAACATCACCAAACTTTAGAGTAAATACCTTTGGCTTTCACACAAGAAACCCGTTAAAATCACGTTTTCCACCAAGAAAAGTAAGAAAATCGCTTCCTTCTCTGTTATGTCTGATTTTACTTCCTTCACTTCTCTCGGTACATGTCGCGAGATTCTGTTTTATTCCTTACATTGAGTACAGCGTGCAGTTTCTTCCACCCAATAGTAAGTTTAGTGTTACCGTAATCTTCGCTGATAAGGTTTCAGATACCATAAAAAGTCGTCGCTTAGCTTGGAGGGGATACTTTCTTTGCCTTCATCTGCCCCGTCATATATTTTTTTGGCTGGGATTGGTCTGTGTACTGTAATTCCCGGTAATTTTAAGGAATCATTGTGTTTAGGACGGTGGTTGGTTTTGAACATGTTGTTTGGATTATCGCAAGTGGATATTGATTACTTGTGATTTATTTTCTTCTTCAGTGAAAGTCATGTGTTGTAGGAGTTTATTTTACGAATATTGTACTGTTCTAATGCATTGGGGACCTGATGATCTGAATGCCGGTTCACTATGCGTTTATCGGATCACTTTAAGATTAACCACCCTAACGTTAACCTAACCTAACCTAACATAACCTCACATACCCTAATCTATCCTAACCTAACCTAACCTAACTCCCATGCTAGTGTTAGGGTATTTAATCCACAGGTGAAAAAAGTTACGGCTAATATTTAGGTGATCTAATTTATCTACCCCTCTCTGCCTACTCCTCTTCCTTCACATTATCTTCCTATTCTTAATGTTCCTTCTCCTCGTCCACTCTCTGGCTCCTTCCTGTAGGTGCACAAGCAACACCTCTGGACTGATCACCCTACAACATGTCATTCTCTAGTCGATGGTAACTCGCTGGCAGCACCCTCGTATCTATACGTGCCAAGGCTGTGTTGATTGCACCAGTTACTAATCGACCTCTGACTGGCGCACGTGATGTTTTGTTACGTTGGTTAGAAGATAAAAAAAATATTAAATTTTAAATGAATTTTTTTGTTTTATATTGCATATATTATTATGTGGTAATACACATAAAAGCAATTTCAAAGAGATTATAACATACAGATAGTTTGCTACTGAGTTATGTAGACTTTTGTATGAGTTATCTGTTCTTTATATGCACTCTGTTAGGATCACTTGTAAGTGTAGAACAAACTCAACATGATAGAATTTGGTTAACATGTGAAAAGATCTTTATATATCACCAAACTACTCTGTCTGTCTGTCCATCTCTCTCGTTCTCATGCCAGCACCTATAGTAAACACCTGATATATGGATCACCAACTTTGTGGACCACTAATGAATTAATCAACGTCATAAACATCATTTAGAGGACCGCTTGTGTGAATTAGATTTTAATTAAATGTTACCCTGGAGCCTTGACGTGTTTTCTCTGGCTACATCTATCAGTCCTTCCCCCCATCATCTAAGGGGTGTGTGTGTGTCCAAGCGAGTACTCCTCATCTAATGAATTTCTTATACTAATATTCCTCGTATTCGTGGTGCTTCATATTATACGTCCGTTGTTGTAGTGATGAGGGGGCAAGTAGCACTAGCCAGCCAATAGCCGTGAATACTAGTGACCACACTTCCCAGTAGAGCCACGTCTTCACGCTAGGCTATTCTGGTCAAGTCGATATACTTCGGTATGAACCACTTACAGTATTGTGTACTGACACCTGGCGGTCGATGGTAGTAAATAGTTTTTTGTTATTATTATTATTTAGCAACCACGACCATCAACACTTTTATTATCACAAAAATTTCATTCATCACCTAACCTAACCTAACCCATTCCAGGCAGCGTTAAGGTATTTACTATTTAATCAGATGAAATATGCTGGGGATGCCTGCTCTTCACGTGATCCTGAGTTTCGGTTTTTATTTGACTAATATTCTTCGATCTTTCTTGTGTCTTCGTTACTACTCGTCTGGTTTTGTGCTTATCCTCGTCTGAAGATTATTTTCCATTCTCTCTTTCTCTCGGTCTTTCTTTTTGTCTGTCCTTTCTCTTTCTCTTTCTCTCTCCCCGTGCGTATAATGGAGGTTCCAACGCCTGCTCCCAGTATAAGTATTTGGTCAATTCTCTGGATTCCGATAGCCTTTAATAGTAGTAGTCGATATCTCCACAGTCTCATTCACGACCACACCCCTCCCTCTGTGACCACCACCACGACCACACCCCTCCCTCTGTGACCACCACCACGACCACACCCCTCCCTCTGTGACCACCACCACCACCACCACGACCACACCCCTCCCTCTGTGACCACCACCACGACCACCCCTCCCTCTGTGAAACCACCACCACGACCACACCCCTCCCTCTGTGACCACCACCACGACCACACCCCTCCCTCTGTGACCACCACCACTACAAGCACCAACACTTAGCTCACCATTACCAAACACCAATACTTCGCTCACCACCATCGTCACTACCACCACTACTACCTCATATCGAAAACAGATTAAAAGAAGACGAATTCATTAGCACACTACTTCACTTCCTCTCAGTAGCGATAAACACGACCAACTGTAGCCTTCATTCCCATACGGCATTTTCACCCATTCTCAACGCTCTCTAACACGTCGTAGAATGAGCTGAGTGACCCTCGTGAGCCTTCTAGACGTTGTTAAAAGTCTCGGTCATTGCCCCGACGGATAAGTCAGGTTGATTACTTATGCATGTTGCTCCTGCGGGGTTTGGTATGCAGAGGGTGGGAGGGGGAGGAGGAGACGGGGGCAAGGACCATCTGGGTTTAATGATTTATAATAACAAGAGGGTAAGCAAGCAATGGGAAGGGAGGAGGTGTTGCTTGGACTACTAGAGAGCTACCTTTATAACTTCTCTATACATCTGTCAGTGTTAGGAACTACAAATACATCGGCAAAGAAAACAAACAGTCATATTTACTGAGGATATACCAACAGTTTTCTACAGCAGAGGCAGGCAGGCAGGTAGGCAAGGAGACCCACCCATGCTTGTAAGTATCTGTCACTCTGTCATTGCTCGAGTCAGTAAACACCAAGTCAAGGGGGTACAGGACGGGGACAAGTGGTACTGGAGACACATCTAAACTACACTACATCAGTCAGTAAACATAAACATGATAACACTACACCAAACCTCTCCACTTTCCACGACGGTATTGTTATCATTCTATGTGTAAATATGTCACTCAGTTTACACACAATAGAGATAACACTGATGAAACAAAGATAACAGTTCATAAAGCTTGATTTAGAAAGGTTAGATTAAATAAGTGATCCATTATAGTGTTAGAAAATTTGAATGGAAGGTAAAATTAAGGTTAGAATGGACGAGAGACTATGTTGTGATCTTGTTCTTGTAATTGAAGTAATTATGAGTTTGTGTACCTGGGTATTTTGTTTTATACAGTATTTGATGCACACTTGTCAGTATTCGGCATGTATAAAGTACTTTAAGATTATTTCATGTATTTTTTATATATATTTTTTGCATTAACGATTGTTTTTATTTATTTATTTATTTTCTGCTTCGACGTAATGCAGCGTTATAAAAAGCAACGTTATTGGATATAAATCAATCAATATAACCCTGAAGTAGATGCTAGATATAACTTAGTGTTCAGGGAATTTTGTCCGCAGCTACACATTCACATAAACATTGGACTCTCATACCGGGAGAAGAACTTATGTAAAAAAACACCCAATAATCTGTTTTCACTCACCAGATTTATCAGATTTTCATAATGCTAAACTTCTTTTTGTTTAAATTAATAATCTGTTGTTTTTCTCCAACTGCTAGTCTCTCTCTCTCTCTCTCTCCTTTTCATTCTCTCTCTCTCTCTCTCTCTCTCCTTTTCATTCTCTCAATCTATCTTGCACTCCCACACTGTTTCTCGTACCCTCTTCTGTGTGTGTGTGTGTGTGTGTGTATGGCTCTCTATGTCTGTTTGTCTCTCTGTCTGTCTCACTCTCTGTCTCCCCATCTGTCTCTCTGTGGGCCCCTTCTCTGTCTTTCTCTAGCCCCCCTCTCTGTCTGTCCGTCTCTCTTTTCACCCACCAGCTACACACCTACTGCTGCCCCTGCTGTTGTGTAAGCCAACAGGGTCACTACACCACACTATTATCAAGGAGACCATCTTCAGGTTGGTTGACAATGGAACACTTTGATTAATCACTTTGTTGCAGGTGAGTTTTTCATAGTCAGGGATACTGCTCTTGTGTATATGTGGGTGAGGAAGGAAAGAAAGGAGAGAAGAGAGAGGGGAGGAAAGTGAGAAAGACGTAAGAAAGGGGTAAGAAGGGAAAATAAAGGAAGAGGAAGGGAGAGAAAGAGTACAGAAGACACATACTAACTCCTCGATTGGACAAAAAAAAAAAGAAGAAAAAGATGAACAGTCAGTGCCATTCACCCTCCTTCTGTATTAGGCATCTGGGTGCGTCTCTGATACCCACTAACATCAACACCACACGGCACCACCACCACCACCACCTGGGCAGTCTGTGACATCCCTCGTTCATCAGGGCTGTAGTGGGGGTCAACCTCCGAGGACACCCTAAGTGGGATGTCCCCTTGACTACCAAAAAAAATACCCAACCTCTTTCCCTCCCCCCCCTCTCTCTCTCTCCCTCCCCTTTCCCCCTTTCCTTCCCTCCCCCCTCCTTTCCTCCCCCCCTTTCTCCTTCCCTCTTACTTGCTTCCCATTCTTTACTTACTCTTGTTGCTATACCACACTCCCCTCCCCAACACGTCCTCCCCATCTTCACCCCTTCCCCAACACCCCAATCCAGCCTCTATCCCTTCCCCCAGCACCTCCACACTAACTCCACCTCCTCCCCAACACCCCCCACCTCTCCCCAACACAGGCGAGGGAGCTGCTGAGAGAATTACTCCCTTACCTTAGTTTTCTAGGTATGAACCGCTCTGCTCACCGCGTCTAGTCTGTAAATAGAAACATCAATATAATTTAATGGACCGTAACCTGATTACTCGCTCGATTCTTAGTCAATTTCATTCATAACTCAAACATCTCTCTCTCTCTCTCTCTCTCTCTCTCTCTCTCTCTGTCTGTCTGTCTGTCTCTCTCTCTCTCTAAGTTATCATAGCTGTTTCGTTTACTCGTTTGTATCAATTTTGTTTTATCTGTTGTCTATATAGTAAATATCTTTTTATCCTATGTGTCTGTCTCCTTGTGTCTCCGTGTGGTCATGTACGTATCTCCTATAGCCTTGTATGTCCTCCACGTGTCTCCGTGTGTATGCGTCAGGACCCGAGGTGCAGTCTCAGCGCCACACCCTTCAGTATAACTTGGCACTTGTCCTGTGTAAATTGTAATCAGTGAGGATTTGTTGGCCCGACGGAGGAGGAGGAGGAGGAGGAAGAAGAGGAGGAGGAGGAAGAAGAGGAGGAGGGGAAGAGGAGGAAGAGGAGGAGGAGGAAGAAGAGGACTTATTGTACACGTCAATGACTCTTATTCCTACCTGCTGAAGCTGGAACGTAAATTAATGGTTCACTTAAGCTGAGGAACGAGTCTGGAGGCAAAAAGGAGCATTGACAGTACAGTGAGCAATGATGTCGTAACAAGATACTATTTTCCTAACACCCAGTGAGAGAGAGAGAGAGAGAGAGAGAGAGAGAGAGAGAGAGAGAGAGAGAGAGAGACGAGTTCTTACTCTAGTCAATACCCTCCATCTATCCTCTTGTGGCGAGTGGTCCTAAACGTTGTGTCATCCAGAAATCATCTAATTCCTCTGAAGTAAACCTTCCTTAACCCAACCCTGAAATACGATATATCGAAACAATTAAAAAAAATACTGGGACAAGAATACATAATTTATTTCCTTAATGTCAACAGAGGATTAAAAACAAGTAAGATTATTAAGGGGACGTCTGTAAGCTACCTTGACTTCACCTAGAGGAGACTTAAAGCGAGGCTGTGTTCTCAGACTACACCATACTTGCGTAAAAAATGGGTGTTGGTGTTTTTCTTTTTTGAGGATCTACAAATGTTTAATCTTAGTTCTCTAGTATGAGTCAAAGTGAGAATTTTCCTACAAATTCTTCCGTCGGTGACACCATTTATGTTCACGTTCATGGCGGCGGCGGCAAAAAAATGATCGTCGCAGTGGGTTATAAATTATTGTTGTATCTCAAGAGACTGTGGCGGATCTACAAGAGCTAGCTGTGATATAAAGATTCATAATTCTAAATCTAACAGCTCACATATGCCGGTAATTTATTTATCCAGGATTTAGAAAGAGCTCAGAGTATTATTGGTAATGTTTAGGAAGGCTTAAGGGGTTGGGGGGAGGCTGTTAAAAGAGTCAACAGAAGAGGTCATCATCCCGAAGATCCTGAATATATTTACTTTCGGGTGTTTTATCGGGAGACTCGAGCAGATGGTCTCATGGTTCTGACACTGTGATGATAAATATTTATAATTTACGACAAAGATAAAAGCAAATCCTGTCTCTTTGTCTCATTACCTGTCTACGCATCCCTTGCTTCACTTCTTTTCCTCTCTATATGTTCCCCACGGGTATATTAGTCAATGATTTGTTCCTCTAGCTCATCTCCCATATGCCTAGCTGATATGTTCACAAAGTTTATCCAAAAACAGCATCAGTCACATCTGCGAGCAAAGTATGATGACGTCCCCTGTATTGGTCGACGGTCTGGGTGTCTCGCTTGACTTGACCAAGACTAAGGTAATGTTGATTTACTGGGTGTGACCAAAACAACACACCACAGTTCCTTATCCTCTCTCTGTGTGACGTGTTTGTCTCTTTACACACACTGGGGGTAAATATTCCTTCTAAATTAACATACCAAATATGAATAAAATACCCCAAAATATATCAACACATGCCTCTAAGTAATATTAATGTCTCAGGTAATAGGTACAGTCAGGTGTGCCAGTCAGGGTGAAGATTAAATCTGCCGAAAATATACTTGATATCGTAGTCAAGTTTGGCGCTAAAACCCTCAGCTTAGGGTCGCCGCCTTGGACTGCAGTGTCGGAGAGGATATTTTATAGCAGTAATAAATGAGATGCTTAGTCATGTTTTATAGGTTACTTATAAATATATGTTATAGTAAGTGATTATATTCATATATTATAAGTGATTATATGCATGTGTTATAGGGAAGATGTTAGGTTTTGTGGTTCTGAGTGATTTTAAGGCTCTGTAGAATTATTTGTGTGTGTGTGTGTAGCAGATGATCGACCAAGTAACAGTGACGAAAGGACATGACTCCACCACACCTAAATGGACAACTATGTAAATCCCTTAAACTGAAATGTCCTGGGATTCCTACGTTAATTTTACCTTAATATGGATTCGAAGAAGAAAATTATATAACAACGATAGAGTCTCAGTATGATCTTGAATTTACTTAACGTCCTGCTTATTACAATACATTTTACGTCTTATCTTCCATTACTCTTCGGAGGCCGGCGTAGAACAGGTTTATTTAACAATTTCCAACAACAAATATGTTGTGTTGCGAAAAGTAACCAGCAAGTTGATAGGTGGAGAGGCTACAGTCATACACCACTTCGACCAATGGGACGCTTCCAAAGAGGTACCCTGTCCTTTGCGGATCCTCTGAGGATAGTTCATCAGCCCGAGTTTCCACTAACTATTATATTTCGGGATATCTACCTGTGTCACCTGTACTACGGCTAAATAATTAAACCGAGTAAAAGAGTGAAGAAGAGGCAGCTTGAGGCATAAAGAGATAATGACAAGGTGTAAAGTGATGACCGTCTGGAGGTGTTGCCCAGAGCGAAAGATTTAGGGTTTAACTGGACCACACAGGATCCTGACTTACGCCCCACCTGGAGGTATAAAAACCCAGGGAAGGACACAGGTATCGCTCCATTAACTCTCTAGCTGTCATCGAGGCTGGACTTTGGCTGTTACGATGAAGGTAAGTTAGGGCAACACAGAGTATGGGAACATCTCCATTAGGAAGGTGGACACGGAATCAAGATCTGAGCTATTATGTTGTGCCAACTTAATCGGTGTAGTGATGTTGTGGGTAAAGATGAGAGTGTGGGTACAGGGGAGAGTGTGGGTACAGGGGAGAGTGTGGGTACAGGGGAGAGTGTGGGTACAGTGGAGAGTGTGGGTACAGGGGAGAGTGTGGGCACAGGGGAGAGTGTGGGTACAGTGGAGAGTGTGGGTACAGTGGAGAGTGTGGGTACAGTGGAGAGTGTGGGTACAGTGGAGAGTGTAGGTACAGGGGAGAGTGTGGGTACAGAGGAGAGTATGCAGGGTACAGGGAAAATACAGAGTATGACACTGTAATCTGCCAACATTGCCTTACTTGGCGGGAAAAGTAGGAAAGGAGAGGGTGGCAATGATGAACGATAACAATAATACCTTTACATACAATTAAAGGCGTAATGCGACTCTTCCATCTAATACAACGAAAACTCGGAACTCAGTACAGCTAAAATCCATTAACCCAAAGAATAAAACTACAGAGGTCATGTGAATGTGACAACGCAAAAGTGTAGCGCGTGGTTACTTAAGTGTGAGGAAGTGGCGGCGATGTACAGACTGTGGGTGTGACCAGCGTGCCCGCCCCTGGGATTATAGCATTACGGCTGCCACCTCCCTCTCTTACCCCCACGTGATCGACCACACACACACACACACACACACACACACACACACTCAAGGGATCAGAGGCAAACCAAACACATGCAAAGCGACTCAGATTTGAGAAAAAAACAATTACTCAAATATTAAAATTACTGTACAGTAGTTCCGATTAATAATTTAAACTAACAACATATGTGGTATTTTACACATAGCACAAGGGGGCATATACATAACATAGTATAATTTCTTAATATTTTGTTGTCTTGTTGTTTTGAAATGTTGTGTTTTTTGGTACGTGGAGTATGTTTATTCGTCCAACCCAGACCAATGGCGGGACTTATAGATAGAAAGGTAGACTGACGTTGAGCTTAATACTGTTACTTGTACATAGTGATGTGAAGCTGATAGGTAGGTATAAAAGTGATAATTAATGAGGCACCAGAGGGAAGGTCTAACAGGTGCGTCTCATGAACCTGTGGTAGAAATATTTAAAAAAAGTCATTAAATTTATCGTTGTCTTGCAGATGTTATGGTCACCTCTGCCAGTTCTCCTCTCCATCACTGTTTGCTTCGCTCAAATCCGTATGTATTCCAAGTATTTTTTTTAGCCTTTAGATACGATAATTCATATTCAAGTCCAAAAGACAATAGTGTAAGTAAAATAAATAGTTAATGGGTGATTCAGGGATATGTTGATTAATGAACTCTAGGGAAGAATATTGTCCTGTTTGGCATTTGTTAAGCTATACTTGGACAGCTGTATGTTGTAGCCGAGGTAGAGTATAAATCCTACAACTGGAAATAGAAATTAAAGCCATTCATCTCATTTATTTCACATAGATAACCCTTATATTATCTCTGTCACGTCTTTTGCCTCAAACTCCATCGATTAAAGGACCATTATTAATCTACTTGTCTCTTAACCTCCCCCCAACACAGCAGGTCCACCAGGTCCCCCCGCCCCGCCCCAGCAACCCCCGCCTGCCACTTCTGATGGTTTCTCTGGCTACCTGAAGCAGTGTGCCCCAGGTGATTTAATACCTGGACCCACCTGTACGTCGTTTCTTAAGTGAGTCATGACATACGCTTGGATTAATAGATATACTTGCATGTTTAATACAACTATCAGTACACACGTGTCTGTGTATGTGTGCCATAACATGAAGTTTCCATTAGACATCATCATCATAAGAGATAGTTTTAATTTTCTTCCCTCGGTATGGCCAACTCTAGTGGGTGGTCATTAGATAAATATCATATATACACGTTACCCTTATAAATATGTTCGTTTTCTATGTCAGCCGCCTGTCCTAAAGGTATAACTATAAAATTCTTACGTATTCGGTAAATATCTACAGTATATACAAGTTCACAGTAGTTCACAGTGGAGTAGTGAAGGAGGTTTCAGGGGTATTACTCCCTGAGCGTTAGGTTCGGGGGAAGGGAGGCATTAACAACCAGTTTATCCAGAATTTTGTTGTTCCTGTACGACCTTGGCTCTTTAAACTGTTTCATATGCTTAGCACCGAACGTACTGCACCGCCATTATGAGCGTAATTATTATCTTACTTATACGTTTAAAGACATTATGCCCGAGGGATTTCATGACCACTATGATCTCTTTCATCCATAAACCTCACCATCTTGTTTCGAGTCAATTGAGATTTTGTTAAGGCAGAGTACCACACTGTTTGAAGAGGAATAATCTAAGTAACTTGTATGATAGGTCGAGACAGGGTCATTCGTGCCTCATGTTACGGAAATTGTTTCTTTATTGCTAGTACTGATGTTTTTTATTACAGCATATTATTACAGGTGGTTCTCCTGATAAGCAAAATTCAAGAGCTAACCCTGAGCTGGCCACGCTCTCTAAACTTACAGTTATGTAATTTAGTCCTAAGTTCCTTATATTGTAAAAAAAACAAACAACAACATCACATTCAACTTAAGAATTATAAATATATAACGTTTACCCATAACTTATTATTGTTTATTGCTTTATAACCTTAATTCTTTTAATTTATCTCGTCTCGAATTTGAATGAGGAGTCGATTACAGAAAACGATTTACTCTTAAGGTATAACTCAGTAAATTCTTCTCCTCGTTTAGGTGTATAGGAAGTCGAACTCAAGCTACAAGAAGAGTCAAATATGAATGTGCTCCTGGGACGATTTTTAACCAGGAAGTCAGCACCTGCGTCCACGGCGATGCATCGCAGTGTGTAATTAGTGCAGGGCCAGACACCTCGGCGCCCTGGCCTCCTGAGTCTGTTGGTCCACCCTCTCCTGCCTCCTGTCCTGCATATGAGGTACTCGTATACTAGTGATAAAATTTACTCTGTTCAACATATCGTTTAATGTCATAATATTATCAGACTAACCTAAATTACGCTGGGTTAAGATGGGTTGGGTTGTATTCTAGAGATTCTCCTCGGTATATATGTTTTTCTACTCACTGACGTTCTTTAAATAATTGTTCATTCATTTAGGGCCATTATCATTCGATCTTAACTATGCAGCCCTTACCTACTTCCTCCACCACAGCTCGACCCAACCAGCGTGTATGACTGCCTGGAGCCCGGCACCTTCCCGTCCTACCGTGACTGTGTTGGCTTTTACAAGTGTATCGTCACCATGGGCTGCACCATCAAAGGTACGACACTCACCTGGTTGGGATATATATATAATTTATCACTTGAGTTTGTTTTCTATATCAAGCCAAGACGTATCATTGAATTAAGACAGTAGTAATACGGGTTAGGTGTATGTAAGGCTGTTTATTTTATAGAATTATATTAACATGGTAGTGAGCAACTTAAAGAAAATAATATTAATAATAGTACTATGAAGGTAAACAAAAACAAATCCCAATGACCCAATGGCACCACTTCACCCCTGTGACCGACTGAGTTGAATCAAGCGACTGGGCGACTGGAGTGTGGAAACGACTAATGGGTAAGGTGGCGTTCTGGCCTGAGGTGGGTTTGGTTTGTGTTTTCACCGCAGGGGGAACTATTTATGTCGCTTGCTCAACTACCTCTGGTGGTGGTTAGTAATAGTTAACAGTTACAGTAACAGTTGTAAAGGTGTAAACAGGTTTGATTGGATGGATGGCCGACCATATAGCTGATCTCGTCTACTCACTTGACAGTAGTATTCCTGTTGTAAGCTTCATATGTATAACTGAGTCTCCATGTGTGAGTTATTCTAATAAGTATGTTTGTTTACTGTACAACTTCTAATGTGGATATTTACTACAATTCTTTTTTTCAGTGTTGGTTTAATTTTTCTGTCCATGTTGGCTGTATGACATTGATGTACAGTATATTATACAACTTGTGTATTTTCCTAATATCTGTGTTAAGGGATTACTTTCTTGATGGTATACACATGTTAGTTACTGCATCTGATATTTGCTTTAGATACAGTTATTTCTGAATGAACTCTCTGAATCTGAATACGTGTTCACCACCTTCAGGATTCCATTACCACTGCCCGCGCCATTTCCTCTTCGATGTCAACACTAAACGGTGTCAGGCGGAGTCGGTGGTGGGCGTGTGTGACAAGGCAGCTGATCCTGGTGTACAGACGCACGAGATACAACCTGTCGTTGAAATCAAGCAGGAGCTCCTCGACGACTTCTTTGCAGCGAGCGCCTACTGGGACTTTATGCCCTTCCTGCCTGACGAACCGCAGAAGATCGTGCCCTTCGACCTCAGGCTTCTCCCGAGGAGTGGAGGGAGGCGTCTCCATGCCTACAAAATAACGCCGTCGGACTTGTAGTTTTAAAGGAACTACAGCCGTCGCACACAATGACGTGAGAGAAATACACAAATAACAATACTGTTTGCTGGGTTAGAAGCTACACTGCTCAGATGTCAACTGTTGCTATTCTTGGTCTAGGTGGTAGCGCCCTCGTTTGCCATCTGAGAGGCTTGGGCTCGAATCTTGCAGGAACAGTATAATTGTTTGCACACCTATCCCTTATAATCACCAAGGGCTACCTACCTAAGAGGGAGAAATAAGATTCCTGTCATAATAAGTCGGACACAAGACTTTTATTATTCTTAGTCTGAGAGAAAGTAATTCTTATTTTCTCTCATATAAATTTGTAATTATTATTATTATGTTCATGAGTTGTTAATATGATCACCAACACAAGAGCTGTAGTGAAGATTTTACGTGAGTGTTTGTACATATAGTTTTGTTCTTTGACCAGATAAATTAAACACGTTGTCTGTATTTGTGAAAATTTTATTAATATTAATACATTAATGTCCTCAGACAGTGAAATATATATATATATATATATATATATATATATATATATATATATATATATATATATATATATATATATATATATATATATATATATATATATATATATATATATATATATATATATATATATATATATATAGAATAAATAGAAAATAAATAACACAGAAACAGGCGACAAATGAAAAAATTTTGGCACATAAATTCTGTAAAACTCAGATGTTCTTGTTGACTATGTTGTTTACCTTAAGAGAGACTAACCCTCATATGACCAATAAAACTAACAATGATTTGTTACTACAAGAAACACAAAGTCAGTCAAGAATATCCCAGCTGTAATGCCTTTACAGAGATAATGCAGTGGTTTGCTCGCAATGCCCGATGTCTTACCATCATAACTGAGCAAATGAGTACAGTAAGAGTAACACGTAGAGATAATGAGCGAGAAATGCGGTAAATAATAATATAACAGACTGTGCGACAACAACAACTTGGTGAGATGTGTGTAAAGTGTTTGTCTTCGGTGAAATAAAGAAATATTATTTTCCATCTTGGAGAACGTGAACATTTCTTTGACTTGTATCAACTTCCGTGAACTGAAGCAGCCTGGCTAGAAGAGCTCACCGGGTAACTGAGCGAAGAACACACATCAACACTCACAGGTACAGACGTGGGTCTAAACCATGGCTTAGGTTACAACACATCAGGACCTAAAGAAATACACCACAATATCTCCAGTTTGCTTTAAAATCTATATAAATATCAGCGTGAGTGTATTTTTCTTAAGCATTAACAAGCTGAGAAGGCAGTCCGTCGACAAGGTTGCTGGTGTTGAGGCGAACGTTACCTGGCAAATCTGTTTTTAAGCAACAGTGTATACAAAACAGTTGATTGCCGATACTTTCTGTTTCTGACGGAGAATATAGACATCTGACAACTTATTTTTGAATGGACGAGTATTTTGTAGTAATGACTCTATAATTGCTTACTAATGTGAATCAAAACAACGTGAACCAGTCAGGTACGAATGTCTGACCTCCGTGCCAGAGATAAGGGCTTTGCTAGATAGTTCTAGAGCGAAAGTTTCTATTCACAAAATGTCTGAATATAAAACAACCCCACGTGATCACCGTCATCATCAAGGCACTGAGGCCACTGTCTTCAGGAATCGACCATTCCAGTTACCTACTATTGTGACTATTTTGTCTATAACTCACGAATATCTAAAACTATTTCCTCTCTCTTCTTTGCGTTCCACATCACATCAAGAAACCTAATCTGAGCTTAGGAGCAACAGTCGAAAACACTCGTCAGTCGACCGGCAACAAGACCTACAGTCAGAATGGCCACACACGGTCACAGTAGCCTACATAAACCACAAGTGGGCTGCTCTCACTGCAGCTCCTGGTACTCAGTGCATCACAAGAGGAAGATCATGTTCCCTCAGGGGTGTTACAACGAGGCGAGGGTCTTCCTCAGGTGGCGATGAGCTTAGAAATCCCTGTCGAAAAACCACGAGAGATCCGATTTGGAGAGTTGAATGACGCCCGCGAGACGTAAGTGGGCCGCTTGTAGCTTCTTCATACATGGTGGAAGGCTATCTTCTTTTGCGCACCTGTGATGCTCCAAGGAGTAGTTGTAGCCCGTGGGACACTTGTAGAGCAGACCTTGAGAGTGAGAGACATTACGGGAGTTAGAATTAAGAAACTGATAACAAAAACATGACAGCTGAAACAAATGACAAGACAAGAATACAGAAAACTGACAATAAGAGGAACATTGTCTTAAAACTGATCAAGAAAAGAGAAGCAGTCGACAGGGATAACATTATACATTAAACAGACTATGAGTAACCCACAATTAAGATGGAATATAAAGTGAACACAAAGTTATAACAGGGTCAACTTGAGATAACTGGGATTAATCTAACCGCTATTAACCAACCAACTTGTCCTCAACTTAACTTAGAATATACCAAAACCTGTTCAAGTTCCCAGACACAAGGCTTGGCCACCAGTTGACATCACCGGCGACGTTACAGCAGTGTTATATTTTACGCATTTTACTGCACATAAACATATCTACTACAGGTTAAGATGATCAACGCGCCATTTTCCCAGGTAAGTATCCTGCCTGAACCTATAATGCTAAACTCTTTCAAAATACCGAAATTAGTGGTAAAATAAGAAAGGTAAATTATAAATACTTCAACACATCTTTCCTTGTCTCTAAAGTGAGTTTCAGTGTTGGAAAATAAACTTTAGGAATTCCTGAACGTACAGTATACGATAATTTGTTTTGAATCTTAAGTCTGTACGATAATTTGTCTTAAGTCTGTACGATAATTTGTCTTAAGTCTGTACGATAATTTGTTTTAAGTCTGAAGATAATTTAATTTGTCTTGACTCCTATACCCTAGAGCAACACGAACTTGGACCTCGACGATACAAGCTGTGGTTGGAGACATTTATATGATCAGGAGAAAAAACGGAACGAGGAAATAATGTGTCATTACCTTTAAGCGTGCCTTTAGGAGTCTCGAAGCATCTGTAGAACCTGAAGCAGTCGCCCTCGAAAGGATAGTAGCCAGGTGCTGGACAGTCATAGGCGCTATATTCATCCAGCTGATAAATAAAACAAAAGAACATTAATAAAACGAAAGAAAATTAAAATACAAGAAAATAATACACTAGAGTCCTAAAGCTACTGAGAGTTACAAACTATTGGTTTAAAATTATCGTTAAACCTTTGCTTAGTAAAATATAAGCATGTTCATTATCTCTGTTGTTTTATGTATTATTGCGCTTCAGTTTCTTTAAGCGCGTATTCTAGGACAGTAAGAACTCTCGTCACCAATAAATTAAGAGAGATGCATATCCGTTTAAAATGGTTATCGAGGTGAAACAGAAACCCAGTTGACAGTCTAGGCTTAAATGTCAGTTACTCCTATAAAGTCTATGACGGTATATATACGTTTTCTATGTCTCACTTACCACCCAGGTTTTCGCTGTTGTCGTTTCTACGTCCGGTACCTCCGTCATGGGGTTTAAGGAGGAGAGAGTTGTTTCGAAGGGTGATAGTGTCTCCCCGAGGAATTGTGTTGTCTCATCTGGATCATCTGTGGTCGTTTCTTCCTCCACTGAGGTGGTCTGGGGCGTTGGGTAGGGGGCAGTCTCCTTCACATTCCTCCGTATCAGCTGAAAGCGTAATAGTATGTATGAATAAGAATTACTTCAAATATAGACAATAAAGTAGATCTATTTATCGTTTTTCTTTTTCACTTTAAAGGACGGAATTGTCAATTAGGTTTTAATAACCATTAAGTGCAGGGATGATATTCCAGCGGTACACATGTTATATCACAGGGTGGACTCTAATAGACAAACTAAACTTACAAGAATAAGAACATTGCTGGGTCTTCTCATCGAAGATCAGGGCAGCTGGACAGGTGAAGATAGGGAAGTTCCAGTTGTATCCGTCCCAGATGCAGTAATAATAGCTGTTGCAGTAGAGTGGATGACGCCGGTACTTGTTATCGTGGTAGCACATGAGAGTGAACGGCGGTGGAGGCGGCCAAATAGGTCCAGAACCTCCAACGCTACCGGGACCGCCAGCTCCACCGGGGATACCAACTGGAATGCCTCCGGGACCTCCTGGAACAGCAACACCAGTGCCACCAGGAGGAACAACACCTCCAGGGGTTCCAGCACTACCAGGGATTCCAACACCTCCAGGGGATCCAGCACTACCAGGGGTTCCAGCACCTCCAAGGGTTCCAGGGCTTAGGGTTCCAGCAATACCAGGGGTTCCAGCAACTCCAGGGGTTCCAGAACTTCCAGGGGTTCCAGCACTACCAGGGATTCCAGCAACTCCGGGGGTTCCAGAACTTCCAGGGGTTCCAGCACTACCAGGGATTCCAGCAACTCCAGGGGTTCCAACACTTCCAGGGGTTCCTGCACCCCCAGGCCCTCCAGTAATGCCAGGGGTTCCAGCGTCTCCAGAGGTTCCAGTACTAACAGAGGTTCCAGCAACCCCAGGGGTTCCAGCTCCTCCAGGGGTTCCAGCGCCTCCAGGGGATCCAGCGTGTCCAGGGGTTCCAGCAATACCAGGGGTTCCACCGACTCCAGGGGTTCCTGCACCGCCAGGGGTTCAGCACTTCCAGGGTTCCAGCGCCTCCAGGGGATCCAGCGCCTCCAGGATTCCAGCAATACCAGGGGTTCCACCGACTCCAGGGGTTCCTGCACCGCCAGGGGTTCCAGCACTTCCAGGGGTTCCAGCGCCTCCAGGGATCCAGCGACCCAGGGGTTCCAGCAATACCAGGGTTCCAGCGCCTCCAGGGATCCAGCGCCTCCAGGGGTTCCAGCACTACCAGGGGTTCCACCGACTCCAGGGGTTCCGGCTCCTGCAGGGTTCCAGCAATACCAGGGGTTCCAGCGCCTCCGGGGAATCCAGCTCCTCCAGGGGTTCCAGCACTTCCAGGGGTTCCTGCACCCAGGGTTCCAGCACTACCAGGGGTTCCAGCGCCTCCAGGGGATCCAGCGCCTCCAGGGAATCCAGCACTACCAGGGGTTCCAGCCTCCAGGGGTTCCAGCAATACCAGGGGTTCCACCGACTCCAGGGTTCCAGCACTTCCGGGGGTTCCTGCACCTCCAGGGTTCCAGCAACACAGGGGTTCCAGCGCTTCCAGGGGATCCAGCGCCTCCAGGTTCCAGCACTACCAGGATTCCACCGACTCCAGGGTTCCAGCTTCTCCAGGGTCCAGCACTACCAGGGGTTCCACCGACCCAGGGTTCCAGCTCCAGGGTTCCAGGAATACCAGGGGTTCCAGCGCCTCCGGGGATCCAGCCTCCAGGGGTCCCTGCACTCAGGGGTTCCAGCACTACCAGGGTTCCAGCCCAGGGGTTCCAGCTCCTCCAGGGGTTCCAGCACTCTGGGGTTCCCACCCAGGGGTTCCAGCACTACCAGAGGTTCCTGCACCGCCAGGAGTTCCAACACTACCAGGGGTTCCTGCACTTCAGTTCCTGCACCTCCAGGGATTCCAGCACTACCAGGGGTTCCTGCAGCGCCAGGTTCCTGCACCCAGGGGTTCCACCGACTCCAGGGTTCCTGCAGCGCCAGGAGTTCCAACACTCAGGGGTTCCTGCACTCAGTTCCTGCACCTCCAGGGTTCCAGCGCTACCAGGGGTTCCACCGACTCCAGGGGTTCCACCGACTCCAGGGTTCCTGCAGCGCCAGGGGTGCCAACACCCAGGGTTCCTGCACTTGGGGTTCCACTCAGGGGTTCCAGCGCTACCAGGGGTTCCACCGACCCAGGGTTCCAGCTCCTCCAGGGTTCCAGCACTTCCGGGGTTCCTGCACCCAGGGTTCCAGCACTTAGGATCCAGCACTCCAGGGCCTGCACCCAGGGATTCCAGCGATTCCAGCACCACCAGGGGTTCCACGGACCCAGGGAATCCAGCTCCAGGTTCCAGGAATACCAGGGTTCCAGCGCCTCCAGGGGATCCAGCCCAGAGGTTCCACCAAAACCAGGGGTTCCAGCCTCCAGGGATCCAGCTCCTCCAGGGTTCCAGCACTTCCAGGGGTTCCTGCACCTCCAGGGTTCCAGCACTACCAGGGGTTCCAGGACCCAGAGTTCCTGCACCGCCAGGAGTTCCAGCACTTCCAGGGGTTCCTGCACCCAGGTTCCAGCACTTCCAGAGGTTCCAGCATACCAGGGGTTCCACTGACTCCAGGGGTTCCACCTCCTCCAGGGTTCCAGCACTCCGGGGTTCCCACCCCAGGGGTTCCAGCACCCAGGGGTTCCAGCACTACCAGGGTTCCACCGATTCCAGGGGTTCCAGCTCCTCCAGGTTCCTGCACCTCCAGGATTCCAGCGATTCCAGCACCTCCAGGGTTCCACCGACTCAGGGGATCCAGCCCAGGGTTCCAGGAATACCAGGTTCCAGCACCTCCAGATCCAGCGCCTCCAGGGTTCCAGCAACACCAGGGGTTCCAGCCCAGGGGTTCCTGCACCTCCAGGAATTCCAGCAATTCCAGGTTCCAGCACTCAGTTCCAGCACCAGGGTTCCAGCACCTCCCGATCCAGTGCTACCGTTCCAGCACCAGGGTTCCAGGACCTCCCGGTGTTCCAGCACCTCCAGGGTTCCAGCACCCAGGGTTCCAGCACCTCCAGGAGTTCCAGCACCCAGGGTTTCCAGCACCTGGGGTTCCAGCACCTCCAGGCCATCCAGTGCTACCAGGGGTTCCAACACCAGGGTTCCAGCACCTCCAGAGTCCAGCACTTCCAGGGTTCCAGCACCAGGGTTCCAGCACTTCCAGGAGTTCCAGCACCTCCGGCCATCCAGTGCTACCAGGGTTCCAGCACCTCCAGGCCATCCAGTGCTACCAGGAGTTCCAGCACTTCCAGGGGTTCCAGCACCTCCCGGTTCCACACCACCAGGCCATCCACTACTACCAGGGTTCCCAGCACTTCCAGGTTCCAGGTCCAGGCCAGCACTTCAGGAGTTCCAGCACCTCCAGGCCATCCAGTACTACCAGGGTTCCAGCACCTCCAGGCCATCCAGTGCTACAGGGGTTCCAGCACCCAGGGGTCCTGCACCCAGGGTTCCAGCACCCAGGGTTCCATGCCTCCAGGGGTTCCAGCACCCAGGCAGCCCCTGCACCCAGGTTCCAGTCCTCCAGGGTCAGCACCTCCGGTTCCAGCCTCCAGGGCATCCATGCTACTGGGTTCACCTCCACAGGCCATCCAGTGCTACCAGGTTCCAGCACCCAGGGTTCAGCACCAGGCCATCTTAGCACCTCAGGGTCCAGCACCTCCAGGCCTCCAGTGCCCAGGGTTCCAGCACCTCCAGGGGTTCCAGCAGCACCTCCAGGCCATCCAGAAGTACCACAGGGGTTCCAGCACCCAGGGGTTCCAGCCTCCAGGGTTCCAGCACCTCCAGGTGTTCCTGCACCTCCAGGGTTCCAGTCCTCCAGGGTTCCAGCACCTGGGGGTTCCAGCCCCTCCAGGATATCCAGTGCTACCAGGGAATTCCAGCACCTCCAGGGGTTCCAGCACTCCAGGGGGTCCAGCACCCTCCAGGTGTTCCTGCACCTCCAGGTGTTCCTGCACCTCCAGGGGCTCCAGTCCCCTCCAGGGGTTCCAGCACCTCCGGGGGTTCCAGCAGCACCTCCAGGATATCCAGTGCTACCAGGAATTCCAGCACCTCCAGGGGTTCCAGCACCTCCAGGGGTTCCAGCACCTCCAGGGTTCCAGCACTTCCAGGATATCCAGTGCTACCAGGAATTCCAGCACCTCCAGGGGTTCCAGCACCTACAGTGCTACCTGGGTTCCAGCACCTCCAGGGGTTCCAGCACAGGCCATCCAGTGCTACCACAGGGAATTCCAGCAACCAGGGGTTCCAGAACCCAGGCCTTCCAGTGCCACCAGGTGTTCCTGCACCCAGGGGTTCCAGCACCTCCAGGTGTCTGCAGCACCTCCAGGCCATCCAGTGCTACCAGGGAATTCCAGCACCTCCCAGGGGTTGTCTCCAGAACTCCAGGCCTTCCAGAAAGTGCCACCAGGGGTTCCAGCACCCAGGATCCAAGCAGCACTTCCAGGGGTTCCAGAACCTCCAGGCCATCCATATATATAATTACCACAGGGTTCCAGCACCCAGGCCATCCAGTGCTACCAGCTGTTCCAGTACCTCCAGGAATTCCAGCACCTCCAGGAGTTCCAGCACCTCCAGGGGTTCCAGCACTTCCAGGGGTTCCAGCACTCCAGGCCATCCAGTGCTCACTTAGGGGTTCCAGCACCTCCAGGCCATCCAGTGCTTCCTTCCAGGGGTTCCAGCGCCTAGGGGTTCCAGCACCTCCAGGAGTTCCTGCACCTCCAGGCCATCCAGTGCTACCAGTTGCTCCAGTACCTCCAGGAATTCCAGCACCTCCAGGAGTTCCAGCACGGGTTCCAACACTACCAGGGATTCCAGCAATCCTCCAGGGAATCCAGCACCTCCAGGATAGTCATCCACTGCTACCAGGAGTTCCAGAAAGCACCTCCAGGGTTCCAGAAAGCACCTCCAGGCCATCCAGTGCTACCAGGGGTTCCAGCACTTCCAGGGATTCCAGCACTTCCAGGCCATCCAGTGCTACCAGGGGTTCCAGCACCGCCAGGGGTTCCAGCACTCCAGGGTTCCAGCACTTCCAGGATTCCAGCACTTCCAGGCCATCCAGTGCTACCAGGGGCTCCAGCACCTGCAGGCCATCCAGTGCCACTAGGGGTTCCAGCACCCCAGGCCATCCAGTGCTACCGGGTGTTCCAGCACCTCCAGGGGGTTCCAGCACCTCCAGGTGTTCCAGCACCTACAGGGGTTCCAGCACTTCCAGGTGTTCCAGCACTCCAGGGGTTCCAGCACTTCCAGGGGTTCCACCACTCCAGGGGTTCCAACAAGCCTCCAGGGCCAATAACAATAATGTTATCTGGAGTAACCCCACTACTTACTGATCCTGGAACACTTCCAGCGCCTCCAACACCTGCAGGGGTTCCAGCACCTCCAGGCCATCCAGTGCTACCAGGGGTCCCAGTGTACCTCCAGGGGTTCCAGCACCTCCAGGAGTTCCAGCACTTCCCAGGGTTCCAGCACCTCCAGGGGTTCCAGCACTGAGTTCCTGAAAGACCTCCAGGCCATCCAGTGCTACCAGGGGTTCCAGCAGCACCTCCAGGCCATCCAGCGCTCAGGGGTTCCAGCACCTCCGGGGTTCCAGCACCCAGGGTTCCAGCACCTCCAGGGGTTCCAGCACTTCCAGGCCATCCAGCTTCCAGCGGGTTCCTACACCTCCAGGAGTTCCAGCACCTCCAGGGGTTCCAGAACCTCCAGGCCTCCAGTGCTACCATAGGTGTTCCTGCACTCCAGGCCATCCATTGCTACCAGGGGAATGCAGCACCTCCAGGTTCCAGCCCTCCAGGCCATCCAGTGCTACCAGGGGTTCCAGCACCTCCAGGGTTCCAGCCCCTCCCAGGCCATCCAGTGCTACCAGGGTTCCAGGCACCCCAGGGGTTCCAGCACCCAGGGGTTCCAGCATCTAGGACGCAGCCCTCCAGGCCATCCAGAAAAGGCCCAGGGGTTCCAGCACCTCCAGGGGTTCCAACACCTCCAGGCCACCAGTGCTGGGCTCAGGGTTCCAGCACCCTCCAGGGTTCCAGCCCCTCCAGGCCATCCAGTGCTACCAGGGGTTCCAGCACTCCAGGTGTTCCAGCCCTCCAGGCCATCCAGTGCTACCAGGGGGTTCCAGCACCTCCAGGGGTTCCAACACCCAGGCCATCCAGTGCTACCATGGGTTCCAGCACCTCCAGGGGTTCCTGTTTCTCCCTCCAGGCCATCCATACAGCTACCAGGGGTTCCAGCACCTCCAGCGGTTCCAGCACCTCCAGGGATCCAGCACTTCCAGGGGTTCCACTCCACTTCCAGGGGTTCCAACCCAGGCCATCCAGTAAGCAATGAGTGTTCCAGCACCTCCAGGTTCCAGCACTTCCAGGTGTTCCTGCACTCCAGGGGTTCCAGCACTCCAGGCCATCCGGTGCTACCAGGGGTTCCAGCACTCCAGGCCATCCAGTGCTACCAGGGTTCCAGCACTCAGGGATCCAGCACCCAGGCTCCACCACTTCCAGGGTTCCAGCAACTCCAGGCCATCCATACCACAGGTGTCTCCAGCACCTCCAGGGGTTCCAGCACTTCCAGGTGTTCCAGCACCTCCAGGGGTTCCAGCACCTCCAGGCCATCCACAGTGCTACCAGGGACCCAGCACCTCCAGGGGTTCCAGCCCCTCCAGGCCATCCAGTGCTACCAGGGGTTCCTGCACCCAGGGGTTCCAGCACTTCCAGGCCATCCAGTGCTACCAGGGGGTTCCAGCACCTCCAGGCCATCCAGGCCACCAGGGTTCCAGCACCTGGGGTTCCAGCACCTCCGGGTTCCAGCAGCCCGTCGGCAGGCTTTTCATCCAGTGCTTCCAGGGGTTCCAGTGCACTCCAGGGTTCCAGCACTCCAGGCCATCCAGTGCCACCAGGGTTCCAGCACCTCCAGGGGTTCCAGCACCTCCGGGGTTCCAGCACCTCCAGGGGTTCCAGCACCTCCAGGGGTTCCAGCAGCTCCAGGCTGCTTCAGGGTTCCCTGCACTCCAGGTTCCAGTACTCCAGGGTTCCAGCACCTCCAGGCCATCCAGTGCCACCAGGGTTCCCAGCACTCCAGGCCATCCAGTGCTACCAGGTCCAGCACCCAGGGGTTCCAGCACTCCAGGCCCCAGCAGCCCAGGCCATCCAGTGCTTCCAGGGGTTCCTGCACCTCCAGGGGTTCCAGCAGTTCCAGGGGTTCCAGCAGCTCCAGGCCATCCAGTACCAGGGGTTCCTGGGCCCAGGGGTTCCAGCAGTTCCAGGGGTTCCAGGGGCACCTCCCAGGCCATCCAGTGCTACCAGGGGTTCCAGCACTTCCAGGCCATCCAGTGCCTAGGGGCTCTGTGCACCTCCAGGGGTTCCACCCTCCAGGGGTTCCAGTAGTTCCAGGGGTTCCAGCACCTCCAGGCCAATCCAGTGCTACCAGGGGTTCCATAGGCACCTCCAGGCCATCCAGTGCTACCAGGTTCCAGCACCTCCAGGCCATCCAGTGCTACCAGGGTTCCTGTGTAACCTCCAGGGTTCCAGCACCCAGGGTTCCAGCAGCAGTTCCAGGGGTTCCAGCACTTCCGGGTTCCAGCACCCCAGGCCATCCAGTGCTACCAGCGGTTCCAGCACCTCCAGGCCATCCAGTGCTCCAGGGGTTCCAGCACCTCCAGGGGTTCCAGCACCTTAGTTCCAGCTCCTCCAGGCCATCCAGTGCTACCAGGGGTTCCAGCACCTCCAGGCCATCATCCAGTGCTACTACCAGGGGTTCCAGCACCTCCAGGCCATCCAGTGCTACTCAGGGGTTCCAGCAGTTCCAGGGTTCCAGCACCTCCAGGGCTCAAAACTCAGGGGTTCCAGTAGCCCAGGCCATCCAGTGCTTCCAGGGGTTCCAGCACCTCCAGGCCATCCTGCACCTCCAGGGGTTCCAGCACCTCCAGGGGTTCCAGGCAGCTCCAGGCCATCCAGTGCTTCCAGGGTTCCATGCCCCAGGCCATCCAGTGCCACCAGGGGTTCCAGCATTCCAGGTGTTCCAGCACCTCCAGGCCATCCAGCTACCGCCAGGGTCTCCAGCACCTCCAGGGGTTCCAGCACCTCCAGGCCATCCAGTGCTTCCGGGTTCCAGCACCCAGGGGTTCCAGCAGTTCCAGGGGTTCCAGCAGTTCCAGGGTTCCAGCACCTCCAGGATATCCAGTGCCACCAGGGGTTCCAGCACCTCCAGGGGTTCCGCACCTCCAGGGGTTCCAGCAGTTCCAGGGGTTCCAGCAGTTCCAGGGGTTCCAGCACCCAGGGTTCCAGCACCCTCCAGGTTCCAGCAGCTCCAGGCCATCCAGTAAGTGCTTCCAGGGGTTCCTGCACCTGCCAGGGTTCAGCAGTTCCAGGGGTTCCAGCACCTCCAGGATATCCAGCACCTAGTTCCAGCAGCAGTTCCAGGGTTCCACCTCCAGGATATCCTGTGCTACCAGGGTTCCAGCACTCCCCAGGGGTTCCAGCAGCCCCTCCAGGCCATCCAGTGCTACCAGGGGTTCCAGCACCACCAGGGACGCAGCACCCAGGCCATCCAGTGCTACTCAGGGGTTCCAGCACCCAGGGTTCCAGCACCCAGCAGGCCATCCAGTGCTACTACAGGGGTTCCAGCACCTCCGCCATCCAGTGCTACCAGGGTTCCAGCACCACCAGGGGTTCCAGCACCTCCAGGCCACTCAGCACCACCAGGGTTCCAGCACCTGGGGGTTCCAGCACCTCCAGGGGTTCCAGCACCCAGGCCATCATCCAGTGCGCTACCAGGGTTCCGGCAGTACTCCAACACCGCCAGTACCTCCAACACCGCCAGTACCTCCAATACCGCCAGTACTTCAACACCGCTAGTACCTCCAACACCGCCAGTACCTCCAACACCACTTGTACCTCCAACACCGCCAGTACCTCCAACACCGCCAGTACCTCCAACACCGCCTGTACCCTCCCAACACCACTAGTACCTCCAACACCACTTGTACCTCCAACACCGCCAGTACCTCCACCACACCGCCAGTACCTCCAACACCGCCTGTACCTCCTCCAACACCACTAGTACCTCCAACACCGCCAGTACCTCCAACACCGCCAGTACCTCCTCCACCACTAGTACCTCCAACACCGCCTGTACCTCCAACACCACCAGTACCTCCAACACCACTAGTACCTCCAACACCGCCAGTACCTCCAACACCGCCAGTCCCTCCAACACCGCCGGGACCATCAACACCTGGAGGCTCCGGCAGGGGGAGGTTAGCTATTGCTCCTGAACACTCGATGGGGTTCCTAACAGCAGACGGGTGGTTACAAATGTCGAGGTCATCATCGAAGACAGTACCATATGGGCAGTTAAATCGGAAGACAGAGAACCGCTTTTTATTGCCCATCCAGTCGACGCAGCGGTAAAAGTTGTGGCAGGACCCTGGCTGAGGGAAGAAGCCTTCTTCAGTACAAGGAAGGACGGGTGGTTTGGTGAGACTGTTGCCCGAAGCTGTCCTCACCGCCTTGAAGGATCCCACCCCTGTTTTCTGTCGCCACCTTCGCGTCATTTTGGAGGTCCTGCCTCGAGGCTTCAGGTGTGGCTCGTCCATACTCCGCACTGCAAAAGACATAAGACGTTAGGCCGCGTAATATTTATATGTTAAGTGACCATCTTTTATGTGTATAAGCAATAGTCAATCTAAATATTTTTTATGTATTTAAATCATAGACAACCTAAGTATTTTACGTGTTAATGGCAAGAGAGACATTCTGCTGTACTGTCTTATCAAATACTCAACATATCTTGATTCACTCTTGTATCACAAGGTAACATCCCTTTGAACAGCGAGAGAATGAAATATCTCCCCAGCTCTGGCCGAAGTATAATGAAACCTGACTACCCAACAAAGGTCTGCCAACTGTTTATGGGGTCCACACACGCCTACATCAGTGGCTCAACCGTTCTGATATGTAGTCGTCAAAATCCCCGGGACATGTTATTACGTGACAAATGTTTCCGGGTCTTCAAATGTACTATACCTCTGTCTCTCTCTCTCTCTCTCTCTCTAAAATATTATATGTAATGATGAAAACTCTCTTCGTCATGGGCTATGTACCTAAGGAGTTACTGAACAATTAAACCACATCGTTGCATAGTTATGCGTACACAAGAAAAACGCAGCGACCGTCGTTACCCAGGGAAGAGTCCTCTGTAAGTCTGAGTCTTGCCTCATTTGATTGTCTCTTCTTGGGACCATTAAGAGATGGTCTTTCAGATTAGTGATCCATTAGTGATGAATGTAAAGTTAAAGATAAAGTTCCCGCGTCGTCGTTTCGTTGTATCAAATCAGGTCTCGTGATTTATATTTAAGCAAAACTTTCTAAATTTTAGCCTGTATTTCATTCATGTAATACCTGTACAGAAAAGATGTTTTTTAACTAAGACAAGTTTCAGGCCTTAATGAGGATAATTTATGTAGGATATGTTCTGAAATGATATATCCTGTCTGAATAGACAACTTTCGAATGGTCAGAACCGTTAACTAGTCTGACTGTCAACAGTTGCCGCAGCGATTGGGTGTTGTCTGTTCCAACGGACAAAGTTGCTGGAATCGTTGATTTCTCGTCCATATTTGGCATAAGAACCTCAGTGATATTAGCAAACTATGTTGCCCTCCCCACCCCCTCTTGGACATGCCTGGTTCACTGTACTGTACTTCAGTTATGTGAAAATACTGGGGAGTCATCCTACGTGTGAACACTTGCTGTATCCTCTACTAGAAAAATTATGTTCTTATGAGAGAAGAACGTAAAGAAAACGGCGTTATTAAACACCAATTTCTACTCACCAAGTGCGGCTGTGACGAGCACCAGCAGCAGCAGTCGTAACACGTGGATCCCCCCCATCGTCGCTGTCCCGCAACCTGGAAGACAACGGAAGATATTAGTTAGCAGACAAGAGGGACAACTGAAGAATGGAGACATAATCATCAACGAGATTTCTGGAGTCATAATGATTAACAAAAGAACGTAATAATTTGGTTAAAAATGTCTGCATTAGTAGGTGCTGGAGGACATATGTCTTGACCCTCAATGTCTCTTCTTTAGACAGATTTTCCCAATACATTTGAGGTGAATTTCCAATATAACCACAAATGTAGGAACTCACCTCACCGTCAACATGATACAACACAAATACGATCTCCAAAATGACACTGAATTAACACTATAGAGTGACTGACAACGACTATCTTATTTTATCTCTTTTTTTTTGTGGAATAAGTTTTATAAATCCGAGATCTGGTCACCACTGATGATGACCTAGTTGGCGTATAAACATGACCCAGTAACAGGTAAACGTCACAGCCATGTCTCATCAGTGGTGACCGTCTTGCTCTGGTAACTCTCACTCTCAAGGTGTGTCTCAGCGCTTCTCGTCAGCACGTATAATAATAACTGGACCAAGTGTATTGTTCTGAAAATTTAACCGGAAAATATAAACACCCAAATCTCTACTGAAAATATGTATTATTATCTCTACAATACATTTTAATTCCCTGTTTGGGTTTATTGTTTCGAAAATATTGGTACTTGTTAACGTAATTCTTCCATTTGCAGAATTTTTTTTAGCAAATACTTGTATGTCAGAGAGAGAGAGAGAGAGAGAGAGAGAGAGAGAGAGAGAGAGAGAGAGACCCTGTAAACATCTCAGAGCTCTGTATCAGATGACCTGGAGGCAAGAGGCGTGTGCGGCTGTGTGTGTGGATACTATATACAGTCACACCTCGTTACTCCACAATATGACGAGCATCAGTCAAGGTAGTTAGTAACAGCCTGGCCCAACGACCAATCAAAAGACTGCAACACAAACAAATTTCTTACCTAGAGGAACCAATTTCCGCCCTGAGTCAAATAAACAAAGGTGACAGACAATTAGTTATAAGTTACGTTAATCTGTGTTGATTGGTGCTGGGTGGGTGGGCGGGTGGGTGGGTGGGTTTGTGGGTGTGTGTGTTGGTGGTTGTGCGTCATACGTTAACTTGGTGATGGTAGTGGGTGTATGTCACTGATGATGTCACGTAATTCGTCTCTTGGTCACCCAGCTGCAGGTAAACACGGTGCTAATTTAAAAGTCCGTTATACCTGGAACTTAACCTCGATGGTGTTATGTTTGTTGTGTTTTAATGTGTCTATGTGTGGTAGTGGTCGTGGTGACGGTGGTGGTAGTGTTGGTGGTAGTAATGGTAGTGGTGGTGGTAGTAGTGGCAGTAATGGTGGTGGTGGTAGTGGTAGTGAGGGTGGTAATGGTGATGGTGGTTGTAGTTGTGGTAATAGGAAAGATATCGAAGTGGTAGTAGTGGTAATGCCAGACTATAATAATGGTAGTAATAGTACTTCTTGGTATTGGTGGTGGTGGTGGCAGGATAGTTTAGTAGTGGTAGTAGTGGTAGGTAGGGTAGCGAGCCGGGAAGGTAGCCTGTGTAACAAATGACGCTGGTTGGCTAGGGCTGAGGGGTGTGGGTGAGGGTGGGGTTTGAGGAGGGGGTGAGGGTGGGGTTTGAGAAGGGAGGGTGAGGTGGAGGAAGTTTAGGAACAGGTGGGGGAAGACGTTCAGATTACAGCGGTGTGAGCGGGTGTTGCCTCTCCTCAGTGTCGACATAACAACACACACACACACGAAGGTCCTCGACCCTCACTTGAACAAAGTCGAGACGCTTGTTAGAACACAAGTCTTGACCGTGCAAGAAACGACTACAGAATAATGCAGATGACCTCTTCTTTCTCTTCTCTCTCTCTCTCTCGAGAGAGAGAGAGAGAGAGAGAGAGGA